TCGCACCATCGTGTAGCAGACCAAGATATTAGATAATTGAATCGATATCATTATGTAGGTTGGTTTGATCGCTTCTTTTCGAAGTTTTCCAATTTTAACTTTGGGCTTTTTTTTTGTTTCTTTTTGATGGACATCCCCAACCATACCAATACATATATTGTAATGGTGGTGGCAACGAAAATTCTCGACACCCATTATCCCATGGAAACCAATCCTGACATATCCAGACTCGTACGGAGTACATAGAACTCCGTTGGAACAGAGGGAGTCTTGGCCAGGACTATTAGCGCCCAACTACACGAACTCACCCCACTAGTGATGGATCTCGCTAGCGAAATCTGGGGCCGCACACCCCAACCTCGACATTCTAATTTATAACTGAGTGTGGGAGAATGTACTTAGCATATCCCTCTGTATGAAGTAAGTATTATTAAATATCCTTGCCACTGGGGCTGAATCTATATGAATATCCCGTTCAGGGGTTTGGGCTCGATCCAGGAACGTTCATAGAACTTTCCATAATCCCAGTCAAAGGGTTTAGTTTTTTTTTTTTTTCCCTTTTCTTTCTTCATTGACAGTTGGCGAAAGCGGGCCATGTCCAGCGCCTTGTACATACACTACTCTGTAAGATGGGCCTCAAAATTCAGAACCCAGCGAAACCAGTAGAAAGAACCCACGTAAGTAGTGGTTACGATGCAGTACAATACATGCAAGTCATAGCCAAAGCGGCCAAAGCGGTCCGATGTCGTCAGTGTTCCTGCTTCAGGCGGCCTGCAGAGGCTTTTTGGGGCCGGCTGGCGGGCCCTGATCGACCCAATTTCCGCCAATAGTTGCCGTGTTGGGGCTTCCGGTTACAAAACCGTATTGGATAGGTATGTGATCCCGAAAAATTGCCCTATAAAAGACACAATTGGGTATGGAGTACAACTTTGGAAGTAAGGTGTTCAAGTGCTCAAGTGTAGGGATATTAATGACAGTAGTTTTGTATAGATTTGACTGACTCGCCGCATACAGTCCCTAGATATTGTGATCAGATATCATAAATCAGGTTTGCGAGAAACCCCAATCTGCCTTGGCTCCTTTATGTTGATGATTGTCCGGAAATCTTCTCCTAATGAGTCGTAAGCGCGCTTCCTATCACGTCGGGGGGAAATGGTTTTTCTTGCGATCGGTGGCATGTTCCCGCACTTAGCGCACCTCCCGATCTTACGTCAAACCTCGGGCTTTGATGTTTCAACCAGTTCCAGCCTCTTCCAAGATTGTTAGGTTGGTGATCATGAAAGCACCTGGGCATTCATGGTGGGTTTTATAAGCCACTTCTGTAATTAACATATGAATCATTTTTGGGAATCCATTTTTATGACACGCGAGCCTGTGCATCATCGGAGACCTTGCCGGTGTTTCAACAGCCGAACCCTTATTCAAATGGCTTGAAGGTCTAGGACATCCAATAGAAACTTTGTACTCAAAGAAGGGGGAATTATATAGGATGGTGGTAGCGAAGAGATCAGTATGGAGTACAGATCGGAGTAGATACACAACCATTGCCTGCACAGTACGGGGTTGATTGCACTTCTACTCTATGATTATGTATGCTATATGCTCTAATGCTCTAAATGTCTCCATATCGTCCGTCTTTGAGGTTAGTCTCGCCCAGCAACCCTGAAAAGCGTTATATTTGAATTAAACATGGACCTGAACCACGGTTCCATGAGTAGCACCGAGCCTAAATAGTCGAAGAATCAGGCCATCTGCCATACCAATCCTCCACTTATCATTCACCTTGCTATCAATATGCTCCTGGCTCTACTTGTACCCTTTCATATGCGGTTCAGATAAAACTCGCCCCAATGCCTGCCAGTCGCCGATCGCTTTTAGCTACATACAAGGGGCACATGCGGAGGATTCACCTGATTTTTGCTCGGATCTTGTAGGATACGATCCATTTGATCCTTCTAGTACTCGGCCAATCATACCTAGGTATTCGTATGCTGACCTCCATTCCCCCGAAGGTCTGACGGTGGTGCCGGTCTAAGATAGCGCTCGAGCGGTGCTATTTCCTCAACCTGTCATGAAGGATCAGATTGAGACTAGTGCATCGAGTTTGTAAGCTCTACGTTGTTGGTATCATAAAGTGACATGGGCGGGGGTTCACATCGTTCAAGGAAAACGCAGCAGAGCGAAAGTCCATCGTAAGGTAGTTCGTCACTGGTGGTTTAATATCATGTCCAAATCACCCGGAAGATATAATCCGTAGACATCTTGAGATTTGAACCTGCCAAGACAGCATATATTGACCCCCGCCCCCGCCTTCCCAGGCTAATGGGGTTGTTTGCTGTCTCTACGGTGTGCATCCGATTCTCAAGTTGAGATAAGCAGGTTACTATCTATTTCTTGGTCATTTCGGATAACACATACACTGGGTAAAGCCACACAGTTTGCTGTCCATTGGTTCTTCCAAGGTCGCCGTGTCTTGATCTCACGGTGGAATTGAGGCCCCGACCACTCTGATCCCAACATTCGCAATAATAGCTGTATCTGACCTTCAATTTCTTGGAACAGGTTGGAGATTGTGCCCAGAATTTGATTCAGAATTAGGCCACTCATATGCGTCTGAATCTCCATTATTGAGTACTTGGAACGAAATGAGCAAAAGTATCAAATATTTCCGACTTTCTTAGTTACTTTATCAGACCACGCTGCCCATTCCAGAACATTTATCCAAAGCACAGGCCAAGGTAAAAGACCTAATATAATACATTGTCTCATGGGACCTTAAGGAGCGCACACCTAGGACTTCGTTTCTCACCAATGTCCTCGTCCTCGTCCTCGTTCCGCTGATCCTTCGCGGCGTCGCACATATTCATTCCCATCTTCATCCTGCACTGTTCCCCCAACACCTAAAGGGTAAACTGGAATCCATCCATCCGGGTAATCCGGGCACAGCATCCACATGGGGTTCCGATCAAAATCCAAATAGAGATTCCACAGGGCAATGAGTTGCACTCTCATAAATCCGCGGTAAGAAGCGAAGTCATACTTCTCTTCGGGGTTATACCACCCATCAATTACCCCGAGAAACCCAAGTTGTTCATCCTTGACAATCGAGTTTAGTGATTTTTCATCAATCACAAGACAAGCGGCAAGACGAGGAATATCGGGGCATCCCGTTTGGTTGAGCTTACGTAGATATTCGACGAAATGACTGCGGATTTGTGCAATACTGGCAGTGTTCCAACGATGAGGGTCAGAAATGATCACGTCTTTATGTGATTTGACCAAGAATTGTTCAACGTGGGATTCATTGCCCCTGGCTTCAGACATGACACACTCTTTCAGCATTTTAGCGATTCTTTCTAGTACAATTGGCCATAGCTCTTCAGATCCAGGCGTATAGACTGTTCGATAGATAATAAAGCCCCAAGGAAGATTGCATGGGAAGAGTTGGGCTAAGATCCGACGGGAAGGACGATCAGCCGCATTCTTGAACCATGGCTCTTGCTGATATTTTGAAAAGGCCTCTTCAGTGAGTTCAGGGTGATGCCAGCGTTGTGGCCACACTGGGTGATGATAGAACTTCTCGTGATCTAGTTCCTCAACCTGGTCGTTGGGGTCGGGGTTGTTGGCCGAGGCAGCGTCTGATGCCGACGAAGCCATTTGTGGAAAGTGATGCACCACAAAATATCCAAAGAGAAGGAGTAGAAAAAGATAGTAGATTGAGGAAATGGTGAGTGGCATTTTGGCTCCACGCAAAGCTAGGTGAAAAAGATCAAGTGAGAAGGGCGAGTTTGCTGGGTTAGTGAGTTGGGTGCCTGAGGCACAAATACCATAGGCACCAACACCCTAGGCTCCAACCCCCACCATTCTCTCTCTCTCTCTCTCTCTCTCTCTCTCTCTCTCTCTCTCTCTCTCTCTACTGACAATAATTAAATTACCCATTGAAATAGAGTGTTGCTGTGTATAATTACATGAACCCCCCGACATTTGGGAGAAGTTCAAGACAATCAACGTAGACGTGCGAACGGGAAGGGAACTTGCCTAGACCTAACACAAGAAAACCCACGGTAAAGACGTCGCTTTGTTGGAATGTTAGGATGCTTGGATTGAGTATCAGATGAGTTCCTTCGTTAGCAATGTGAAGAAGTAGGCCGATGACGCGATTGAGAAGATCGAGACAGATTGGAAGCCAACGGACAGCGAGGAGGACGACCCGCTGGGCCATGAGAACTACCGGGCATTGGAACAAATATTGGATCTCCTGAAGCAAGACGCGACAGCGATCGATTCGAGCAACCTGAAGCCTGAGGACTAAGGATCCTCTTCGGTAGATGGGTCAACTTGACCAACATTACTACGCACTCTCTGCTTGGAAATAATTAGTTCACACGCATGAACTTCACATAGCTGTATTCCTTCCAAACCCAGCTCAACGTTTCGGTCAAATCATCCGAAAGAATTGAGCCCTGGTGCCAGGTCGGAGTGCTTGGGGGGAATTTAGATGGATGGTAGTGATTGGGTGCTTTTATTCCACGAAATTCACCGTCGTATGCACTAGAAAATCTCACCAGAAGATTTCACCAGAATCACCAGAGTCACCAGAGGACCTCACCAGAGGATGCGCAAAGCCCATCGAGATGTTGAGACCCCGATAGCAACTGAGGTCGAAATTGTAGTTCATCCGCTCCGAGGAGGAAATAGTGTTAATCCGTTCGACGCGCAGAAACGAAAGGCCGTCCTCCGTAGGATCATCCCAAAGAGACTGAGAATAAACAGAGTATAGCTTCAAAATTTATAAGATCCAAAATGAATGAAATTTCTACTATGTTGTTGCTCAATGCGGCGCTCTCCGCGCTAGGCCCCTTGAAAATTCCCCCCGCGAAGTTTTCGTAAAACTTCACTTCTGTCACCTCGCGTCCTACACTTTCCTCCCCCATCTCCCGGAAGTTCGCTTTCCTCGCAACCCATCATTTTTCGTGCGTTTTTCACCTTTATACCGCGTGATGAACTCTCGCGAGCCATCTGATATGCCTCCGGCGCCTTCTTACCCCTCCCCCAACGGTGCGCAGATGGCCCAGGGCGCCATGCCGTACTACAGCAACCGCCAAATGACCACCGACGAATTGCTGTCCGCCGAACTTTCGCGCGAGGCGTCCAACCCTGGACTCGGAGAGTCGAACAATGGCGTTCACCATGGCCAGTCTATGGTATTGGGATCAAACAACGCTGGTGACATGGGCCGCACGTCCTCGGAGGATCAACACCAACACCAGCACATGCTGCAGTTCCCTCCGAGTCAACAAGTGGGCGTTGATCCCAACCATGATCTGAGTTACGGCGAACAAAGTGCGCGCAAGAGATCCAAGATCTCAAGGGCGTGCGACGAATGTCGACGCAAGAAGGTAGAATCTCCCGCAACTGTGATTAATACAGCTAGGTCTAACACGCGTTTCACTTCCACAGGTTCGTTGCGACGCCAGTTCCGAAACAGGCCTTGAAACATGCTCCAATTGCCAGCGCCTCGGTGCTGTGTGTCAATTCAGTCGCGTCCCGATGAAACGCGGCCCAAGTAAAGGGTAGGTCAAGCCAATGCGCCACCACTCAAACCGCACCTACTGACAGTTCGAAAGTTACATCAAGGAACTCGCCGAGAGACTCCATACCCTGGAAAACCAGATGCAGCCCGGGATCGTTCAACCTGATGTGCCGTATCAATCGATGAACGAGGTATCGCTCCCGAGGGGATACCAAGACTTTGCATCGCCGGTCGAATCAAACCCGGGCAATCGCAAGAGGACATTCTCGGCCTTCGAAGGTCTTCCCAGTTCTTCATTCGCCCAGCCATCGTTCAATGCCCGAGTCTCGCAAAATGCCTTCGACGCGAACGAGACAGCAGCGGACCCGTACAACCCCACTGTGGCCAGCGGTAGCGCAGCAAAACCGGGTAATCTGTTCTGGAATCTAACAGGCAGCGAGAATGATCTGCCTAGCGGTCTTGAGATCAACGATTTGCCGAAGCATGAGGGTGACGACGACATGAGCCCAATGACCTTGGACGAAGGTGCTCTTGATGCGTATGTGTGATGCGAACTCCGAAACTGTGCGAGCCTGATCTAACGACCTTATCCTTTTAGCTACTATCATAAGATTCACACCCTGCTGCCGATCTTGCCTCATACCAAGGAGCGAACCCTGGAGCTTTTGCACCAGTGCAATCGCGAAGCCCAAGAGATCTTCTGTTACGCATTGTACAGTGTCACTCGTACCGATATCTCCCGTGTTGCAGCCAGTTTCGAGAAAATCAGCAGCTTCGACAATGCACAGGATTTGCTGCTATTCCACACTCGTCAGCCATTGATGGTCCATTCGACCCCGGTCAACTTGATCTGGCTACAGTCTCTTCTGCTCATGATCGTTGACTGTGACACTCGTGGCCCTGACAACTTCGTGCTCAAAGATGGTGTCCCCAAGGGAACTCTGGTCCAGGCAGCCAACAAGCTGGGCTACGACTTAGCCAAGAGCCAAGGCCAGCTCAAGAACAAACGCACCGCCGACCCCGATGTGGACTCAGACGCGAATCTTACAAGGCGCAACTGGGTATCTTTGGTTATCTTGGCCCGGTGGTACGCTATCAGTGTCGCAGATGCCACCGTTTTGGGAGGCCACGAGATCGGCGGCCGAGAAGACGAAAGGGTCGTTGGTCAGATCACAACCGGAATTGCTTGTAAGTCATGTCTTTTAAACTTTATACCACAAAATTGCTGACCGTTTCCCTAGCATACTCAACATTCCTCTCGGAGATGGTGACAATGGCCAATGTCGACCACAATGTTTGTCAAACTAACACAGGCCTTGGACGCATCATCGGAGCGAATTTGGTATCTTCTCTGGAGCGTCTAGCTGAGATGGAGGATATCTTCCAGATACATGAGCTACCAGAAAATACCTCAACTCGCCCACTCTACGAGAGCCTCCAAGGACAGCTCTACTGGACAGTGCGCCTTCTCATCAAACGCCATGTCTTTGTTTACAGCCCATATGAGATTATCTTCTGTGCGCAAGAAGTCGTTAACGAGATGTACAAGTCAACCATGGATAACCGGCTCCCATCACCCTTCGATCTTCACAGTCTGGCCCTCGCATCAATGACTCTCCTCGAGGCTACTGTCCTTCCGGAGCACGCGAGCGAATGCTGGACTGCCCTCGAAAAGGTTGAAAAGATTCTCGATGCTCGCTCCAAGCGTGCATCCGAAGGCGGGGAATTCGACAACATCTTCTGCACTTCAGAATGGGACGCCAAAATTCGCATCTTCATCGAGTGGCGCCGCATCAAGTCTCAGGAGAGCCAGCTCCAGGAAGCCGATCTCAGTGGTCTCACCAAGTCCCAACAACCTGTCATGGGACCCAATGAGCAACGCTCTCTCCAGCATCTTGCTGATCTTGCTGTCGGCGCTGAAGGCTCTGTCGGTCAGAACGTGCCATCCACACCTCCCCCGGGACTTTCACATGACCAGGGCGAAGCTTCGCCGAACCTGAACCCGCAACTAGCGCATTCGCAGAACGGGTCCGGTCGTGTGGTTGTGGACTTCACTATGCTTACTAAGGAGGGCTATTTGAACGTCTTCTCTGGTTTGATTTATCGCCGAACCCGTTAAGTTTGGATCTGGTCGATTGCTTTCTCTGCTCAGCTTCCGTGCACTGTTGCTCCTTGCTTGGTGACTATCAGATTTCACTTCAACCATGTTTCATCTGTGATGTGATAGGGAAATCTCGAGTTTCATTTCCTATATTGTGTATTCTAGCTATTGGTCATATCTTGCTTTCAATCGAAAAGGCCATTTTTGATAGGGAGATCGCAACTCATCTCAGTAAAATTACGATACCAGGTCTCCACGCTGGGTGCTAATTTCTCAAGTCAAGCAGTCTGTCGCCTGTGCTTCTAGAGTTGTGAAGAGGGGTTTGTCGCCTCGACGGCGATGAAGATGACAAACCCCTGTTCAAAACCCAGAGGCACCTTCCCGAGATACCCCCCGTCTCGACAAATTCCCGCCCATCGTGGAGACATGGCATCGTGCATTCAGTAAGATATTGTTCTTTAGCACATATTCCCATGTATCGCTGTTGTCGAATAGCCTAAGAATGCATGATAAATGTTCTCACGCACGCGGACAACTGATCCCGAAGTCTCCGACTGAGCTTAAATCCAGGAATAAAAAAGATAGCAGCCTTGTGAAGGAGATACGCGAAATCTCACTTAAATCCGTACTCGCCACAAGCTAAATCGGGTCATCTTCTCTGCCCGAGGGCAAACCGTCTCCACGTTCCTTCCACATCTTGGCACAGAGTCATGAAGTTGTCATCTTCCAGTAATTCGCACATCCAGTTCTCTAGAAATACCAGTCGCTCTGGTGTCGGAGAGGCCAGGTACTCTATGATCTGATCGTCTGCCACAAATGGAGCTGGACGAGGTCTTGGCTCATGATTTTGCTTCTCGGTTGGCTGGCTGGCTACCTGGGATAGGTTTTGGGATTGTGACTCGGGGAAACCAGAGCATGTAGGCTCATTAGAAGGCTGGGGTGGCTGAGAACTAGCTGGAATTTCCTCTTGGGGAGTTCGCTTTTGAAGGGTCCCATTGGCAGGTAAAGGCCTTTTGGCAGTTGGCTTTGTGAAAGGCAAGTTCCTCTTCGGAGGAAGCATTTGATTCAATTGGTCAATGTCGTGTATGGCAGAGACTGTGGATAGTTGGGAGTTTGGGAACTCTTGGCTGCTGTATGACATGTCTTGAATCGGAAGAGGTTCTTGCAACGGCTTGCCCAAGGCAACTGGTTGCATATTCAGCGTAGGTCGGAAGATTGTTGGTGGAAGGGGCCCGCATCTTGGAGCATAGGACACAGTGCTAGCCGGAGATGATGCTCGAAGAGGCGCTATCACGGAAACATGTCAGATCACGTCTCACGACAACTGGATGTCTTTTGCTTACTTGTCCCACCAGACGCAATCATTCCAGCACCGAAGCGAAACCCACTACCGGCATGGGCATTTGTGGCTGTGTTCACAGCTGCTGGTGTGATCGACGACATGTTTCCTGATGTCCATGATGAAACCGATGGAGCATGTCGAGTTGCTGGAATAGATGCGTTGCTCTCAGTTATTGGGCAGTTGCTCTCACTCAGGAGAGCCAAAGCCGTGAGATAGTCACGCTCCGTGGCGAACTTGATCTGGAATCGGCGGATCTGTAGATTGGTAGTGTAGATGTCAGCAAGAGCAAACAGGTATGAGTTGACGCGAGGGATGCTGACATGTGTGTCATTGTAAGGATATTTCACTGCAATGCAAGGTAGCTTCACCACGACAGCAAATCTTGACTTTGGTGTTGGTGTCAATTGGGCTGGCATTGGCATATTTCGGGCCAAGTATACCAGGTCCACTTGCTCCTGGATCGAAGAAGCCCGGTCAGCATTGCTATAAGCTCTGCGAGTAGTGATCGTACCAGCATGACATCGCCCCGGAGGACTTTGAGTATGAGCCGCGATGGCGTAGAGCCGACATCTACAAGCTTCTCGAAAACACAATGCAAATCACCACCGATGATATGAATCCAGTTCAGCGGACCGACATGATCAACCAGAGTGTTTGTGTGGGAGAACTTGGCGACAGTGAAGTGAATGACCTGGGGGAGAACTGCAGGCTGCAGATGTTGCATCGTCTCTGATTAATGATGAAGATATGGAGAAGAGTTTTTGGGATGATTCAAGTTAAACGAGGGTTGTGGAGAGTTGACCTAAGCCCTGGAGTGGTGACAGCGGCGAAGTCAGTACTGCAGTACTGCAGTACTTCAGGCTTCAAATTCTATCTCCAATGCCTCTGAACACACTCTGCTCCTTTTTGAAAAATAACCATTGAGCCAGGCAAATTGTGCTGTTATCAAGTGACACAGAGATTGCATATATGAGGTCTTTATATCATGAGTAGATAGATCAGTATTAAGTATAGATTGAGGTCTGAAGTTTCCCATGAGAGTAAACACACCACTGGTCTGCACTTTGGAGAAACTGAAAACCTGAGGAAAGTGCGAGGTCCTGCCTTGTGAGTCCTTTTCACCTCTTCTTTCCTACCTCTCTTCCCACCTCTCTTTCTCCCTCTCTTTTGTCTCATTATTCACACTTGCGAATTTGAGATCAAAAGCATTCACCTGCATGGGTGAGCAGATCAGTGCGCGTGAGGCCGTCAAAGAGGCTCTGCTTACACTACTGAGGACAGAAATCCCAGACGAATGCGAACGCCTTACACCCGCTCCTTTACAGAGGCGAATTGCATCATTGGCTAGATTTCCGTCATGTATGAGCAGCAATGAATGGCCAACAATGGGGCAATAGGGTCATCAAACTCAACCTGGATACCCGCGATCTTGACCAAAAGAAAGTCTTTGTCGGAGATGAAGCAGGTGTACAGGGAAGGTTCCAAGAGGCGATCGGACAAACCCTTGGAAAAGTCTTTGAAGCTCAAGGACTGGATATCCAATTTGCCGACTTTAAATGTCTTCCTAATCTAGGGAACAAAGTCCCTGATTGTATCATGAAGACATCGACCAATGAGTTGAAGCTTGTAGGTGAGTTGAAGGTGCCATGGGTTTCCCATCGTCAGGCCAGAACCAGCTGCGGTGCTGCCTCAGTCACCTTCGATGACCACCTCATGATTGTCTCTCTTTTCACTTCTTTGATTTCACTTCTATTCTTTCTCTGTTCTCTCAAACCTCTCTTCCCTTTCTATCTTCGCAATCTTCGCAGCCTTCAACATGACTGACATCACTCAGATTTTCAAAGACACCAAGATCGCCCTTCCTGGCTCCACAGCTCTCCAGCTGGACGCGAGTACATGGGTGATTGACGAGAAGCTCTATGAGAATAAAGTCGATGGGATGCGCGAGCCTGATTTTGACCCCGAAGATCCCCCATCCGTTTGGGAAGCTAAGTACCTATGTCACAATCTCGAATCCCCCCATGACCAAGCCTTTATGAGAGTTTACTGCCAAGGCCCCGACGAGGGAACAGATTTCCTTTTGCCAGAGATTCGAGCCCAACAGGCAGATCCTCAGTACGAAATGCCGGAAGCCACAGCTCGAAAGGCTTTCAAACAGGCTGGATGCGGGAGTGTACCGCCACTGCTTGGATGTGGCCAATCTGTCCAAGGGGGATACGGACCTGTACCTGGAGGATACATCGCCTATTTGGTGTGGAAAAAGGTCCCCGGACTGGTCCTTTCTCGGGAACTTTTCTGGTCATTCAAGCGATCGGAACGTGACATCTTTTGTCACAAGTTCCATCTTGCATACGCGTAAGTACGAAGTTGAATCTCGAAGACTATACTAACATAAAACTAGGGAAATGGTATCCTGTGGTTGGTGTCCAGGAGGGACGGCCATTTGGAAGATCATATGGGACCGAGAAACCGCAATTCTGTGGATCAATGGGTTTCGCAGTTCCTTTCCAGCCGATGACGAGGACAAACTGTGGAAGGATGAGGCCCTGGTCGCTTTCGAGTTGATTAAGCCACTGGTACCTGGCTATTCCGAGAATTACGCTGAATGGCAGCGGTGATATAAAGAGAATACCCAGGCACCGCTCTGGGGGCGGGGGCAACGAAGGCAATAAGGGCCAGGGGGGCAAGAAAGTATGCAAGCCAGCAACGACTCTATAGGATTGATGCTAACTCATGGTAAAAGCGAAACCGCGGCAAATGCGGTGTTTGCAGCCAACGGGGCTGCCAAAACCCGGGCCACCGCGCCCAGTGGCGTCATGGCAATGGCGTCGTCAAGCAAGGAGGGGCCCCAAACATCAACATTTCGGTAAGAAGCCCTTCTTTGACAAAATTCATCCCAGAAGACTCATAGTGACTGATATAAACAGGGGTCTCCGGTGGGGTCACCGTGGTGGGGGCCCTGGTGACC